CGGGACGGGGGCAGCCGCACTATTAGCCCACTCGCCATTTCAAGAAGGTGTCATCCTTCTTTACTTAGGGAGCAGAATAGCACGACTGTCAGCCCTGTAGCGTGGTATCCAATCCATTGTGCCGTGTCGTGTCCATAATTCCATGCCGTATCCAGTATGCCGTAATAAGGATCTTACTGGCGTCGATCCTAATGTGCCGGTTGGCACTCCTGCGGGTTGACGAAGCATTTCCTCTATCGCCGTGTTATGGTTACCGCGCCAGTGTTCGCGTCGCACCCCCTCACTTTGCTATTGTCAGAAGGACAACATTGCCCAGGCTACACCACGGGGAGGCGTGAGGTAGGAACTTGTGAGAACCAGAGCTACCCAGACAACCAGAAGTCGTATAATAATGTACAGACAGTATCGTAAATTGCTACAGTTTTAGTCAAAATCGCATATAAGAATGGCATACCTCGCATTATGTTGAGGTTAAATCGTATAGAATGCAAATTTCCGACCAATATGCGATGACTCATTTTTCCATCGTACTGTATCACAAATTAAATCGGATTACATCGTAAGACTTTTCAAAATGAATTTGTTATTACAGATTAAATCGTATATGATGTTAAATCAACTCGTTTAAAATTAAATTAAAATATGCACGTATATGGCCTCCACTTTTGTACGTATAAGCCATTTCTTTGCATTATATACGAATTGTTTGTTTGTATATATCTAGATAGTGCCGGAATTAGGGCGTAACAGCCTTTGTAAACAATGACTTCTCTAATTGATTTCTAGGAATTCAAGGTACGCCTACACAAACCAACATATCCATCGGGTAGGGAAAGTCTTCCCCTATTCGATGGTAATGTCGATTTGCCAGCGAGAGCCATAACTTTCGAGAATTCATCGAGAGAAGTCATTGTTTACAAAAGCTGTTACGCCCTAATTCCAGCTCTATCTAGATATGTTTGTATATCACGAAAACAACTTTGAATATACGTGCATTCTGGTTGTCTGGGTAGGTTGTCAACTCACCATCTGTCTGTCTGTCTGTCTGTCTGTCTGTCTGTCTGTCTGTCTGTCTGTCTGTCTGTCTGTCTGTCTGTCTGTCTGTCTGTCTGTCTGTCTGTCTGTCTGTCTGTCTGTCTGTCTGTCTGTCTGTCTGTCTGTCTGTCTGTCTGTCTGTCTGTCTGTCTGTCTGTCTGTCTGTCTGTCTGTCTGTCTGTCTGTCTGTCTGTCTGTCTGTCTGTCTGTCTGTCTGTCTGTCTGTCTGTCTGTCTGTCTGTCTGTCTGTCTGTCTGTCTGTCTGTCTGTCTGTCTGTCTGTCTGTCTGTCTGTCTGTCTGTCTGTCTGTCTGTCTGTCTGTCTGTCTGTCTGTCTGTCTGTCTGTCTGTCTGTCTGTCTGTCTGTCTGTCTGTCTGTCTGTCTGTCTGTCTGTCTGTCTGTCTGTCTGTCTGTCTGTCTGTCTGTCTGTCTGTCTGTCTGTCTGTCTGTCTGTCTGTCTGTCTGTCTGTCTGTCTGTCTGTCTGTCTGTCTGTCTGTCTGTCTGTCTGTCTGTCTGTCTGTCTGTCTGTCTGTCTGTCTGTCTGTCTGTCTGTCTGTCTGTCTGTCTGTCTGTCTGTCTGTCTGTCTGTCTGTCTGTCTGTCTGTCTGTCTGTCTGTCTGTCTGTCTGTCTGTCTGTCTGTCTGTCTGTCTGTCTGTCTGTCTGTCTGTCTGTCTGTCTGTCTGTCTGTCTGTCTGTCTGTCTGTCTGTCTGTCTGTCTGTCTGTCTGTCTGTCTGTCTGTCTGTCTGTCTGTCTGTCTGTCTGTCTGTCTGTCTGTCTGTCTGTCTGTCTGTCTGTCTGTCTGTCTGTCTGTCTGTCTGTCTGTCTGTCTGTCTGTCTGTCTGTCTGTCTGTCTGTCTGTCTGTCTGTCTGTCTGTCTGTCTGTCTGTCTGTCTGTCTGTCTGTCTGTCTGTCTGTCTGTCTGTCTGTCTGTCTGTCTGTCTGTCTGTCTGTCTGTCTGTCTGTCTGTCTGTCTGTCTGTCTGTCTGTCTGTCTGTCTGTCTGTCTGTCTGTCTGTCTGTCTGTCTGTCTGTCTGTCTGTCTGTCTGTCTGTCTGTCTGTCTGTCTGTCTGTCTGTCTGTCTGTCTGTCTGTCTGTCTGTCTGTCTGTCTGTCTGTCTGTCTGTCTGTCTGTCTGTCTGTCTGTCTGTCTGTCTGTCTGTCTGTCTGTCTGTCTGTCTGTCTGTCTGTCTGTCTGTCTGTCTGTCTGTCTGTCTGTCTGTCTGTCTGTCTGTCTGTCTGTCTGTCTGTCTGTCTGTCTGTCTGTCTGTCTGTCTGTCTGTCTGTCTGTCTGTCTGTCTGTCTGTCTGTCTGTCTGTCTGTCTGTCTGTCTGTCTGTCTGTCTGTCTGTCTGTCTGTCTGTCTGTCTGTCTGTCTGTCTGTCTGTCTGTCTGTCTGTCTGTCTGTCTGTCTGTCTGTCTGTCTGTCTGTCTGTCTGTCTGTCTGTCTGTCTGTCTGTCTGTCTGTCTGTCTGTCTGTCTGTCTGTCTGTCTGTCTGTCTGTCTGTCTGTCTGTCTGTCTGTCTGTCTGTCTGTCTGTCTGTCTGTCTGTCTGTCTGTCTGTCTGTCTGTCTGTCTGTCTGTCTGTCTGTCTGTCTGTCTGTCTGTCTGTCTGTCTGTCTGTCTGTCTGTCTGTCTGTCTGTCTGTCTGTCTGTCTGTCTGTCTGTCTGTCTGTCTGTCTGTCTGTCTGTCTGTCTGTCTGTCTGTCTGTCTGTCTGTCTGTCTGTCTGTCTGTCTGTCTGTCTGTCTGTCTGTCTGTCTGTCTGTCTGTCTGTCTGTCTGTCTGTCTGTCTGTCTGTCTGTCTGTCTGTCTGTCTGTCTGTCTGTCTGTCTGTCTGTCTGTCTGTCTGTCTGTCTGTCTGTCTGTCTGTCTGTCTGTCTGTCTGTCTGTCTGTCTGTCTGTCTGTCTGTCTGTCTGTCTGTCTGTCTGTCTGTCTGTCTGTCTGTCTGTCTGTCTGTCTGTCTGTCTGTCTGTCTGTCTGTCTGTCTGTCTGTCTGTCTGTCTGTCTGTCTGTCTGTCTGTCTGTCTGTCTGTCTGTCTGTCTGTCTGTCTGTCTGTCTGTCTGTCTGTCTGTCTGTCTGTCTGTCTGTCTGTCTGTCTGTCTGTCTGTCTGTCTGTCTGTCTGTCTGTCTGTCTGTCTGTCTGTCTGTCTGTCTGTCTGTCTGTCTGTCTGTCTGTCTGTCTGTCTGTCTGTCTGTCTGTCTGTCTGTCTGTCTGTCTGTCTGTCTGTCTGTCTGTCTGTCTGTCTGTCTGTCTGTCTGTCTGTCTGTCTGTCTGTCTGTCTGTCTGTCTGTCTGTCTGTCTGTCTGTCTGTCTGTCTGTCTGTCTGTCTGTCTGTCTGTCTGTCTGTCTGTCTGTCTGTCTGTCTGTCTGTCTGTCTGTCTGTCTGTCTGTCTGTCTGTCTGTCTGTCTGTCTGTCTGTCTGTCTGTCTGTCTGTCTGTCTGTCTGTCTGTCTGTCTGTCTGTCTGTCTGTCTGTCTGTCTGTCTGTCTGTCTGTCTGTCTGTCTGTCTGTCTGTCTGTCTGTCTGTCTGTCTGTCTGTCTGTCTGTCTGTCTGTCTGTCTGTCTGTCTGTCTGTCTGTCTGTCTGTCTGTCTGTCTGTCTGTCTGTCTGTCTGTCTGTCTGTCTGTCTGCATCAACCACCGCGGCTCAATGGAAGAACAGTCGGTCGTGTTTCAATTTTACTCTTCTACTAACATAACGCAGTAATCAGTGCTGAGATTTGTCATTGTCATCGACAGTCTTTCGCATATTGACCAAATTGATTTTCACATAGACTTGATCCTCAAAAAAATCATCGTCAAAATCTCATTAATTTTTTCGTCAATGACAAAAACCTTATCTAATTGTGTTGCTTAAGTCGTTTAATTTCGTTACAAATTTATTTCATAAAAAAATCTACACATGTTAGTCACTGATAACATTGTCATTGATAATTGACATGGTTTGCCTTGACTATGACTGTTAGCTCAAATGAGTGACCAAAGCAGAATTGTCAATATCACCGTGTATTGTGGAGATTTTGCAGCACAGGCAGTAATAAATGGATCCTACCGTGCGGGAACAGAGGTATTTGCATGCGCATATCATATGCGCTATTTTCATACCTCACTAGTTCATAGTTTTTTTTTATTGCTGGTAGTGCTTGAACAATAATCGTATCACAAAACAAGTTCATACCAATGAATACCCTACTAGTTTTACGATTTTGGTTAAAGAGTTGGTCTTTTATCGGTAGTATAACATCTTAAAACTTCCCTCATCAAAGAAATAAAGAAGAGATATTTTAGCACGCATTGCTCACTAGCGAGTCAAAAAATGTCAGGAGATTTTGCAAATTTTTCCATCACTGATTTTTATGGATCCATGTTATTGGTGCAAAATATGGGCTGAGATTCTCGCAAGCCTTACAATATCTATCCCATATTGATGGTGCGTCGCGAGTTTTGGAAATTCTACAAAGTATCTCTCACAATTCCGCTGTATTTACAATTACTTTTATTTTTATTTTTTTATAACATTAACGTTAAGGTGATTCCTTGAATAGTCCAAACATGGCCGTCATTATGGTTGATATACACTATCACTTCAAGTTATCAAGAGAATAAACTTCTTACATTGATGCTTCTTCTCTCATGCAATTGAAACTCCTTGTTTGCTACTCTGCAGCAAGTGTGAAGTCCAGTTTCATTGTTGTATGTCTTTTAGAAATTTCGAGCTGATAGTATGATCAATCAGAAAAAAAGTTTTCACAGCGATTCACCTTCAAAGCTTTCTTGGAAAGGATTGATAAAACTTTAAAGCGCCTGTAAGTTTGCCTATTCCTATGTGCGATGATCAATTTACAACATATGAGCTTTACTTAAGTTTTCCACCACTGACGGGTTACAAAGTGGTGAAAATGATTAGTATTGACGTTTGTTTCAATGATTTTATACGCTTTGATGCCGGCAGTTTTAATCACAAGTTTTTGAACTTATATATTGCAAATAGATAAGAGGCAATAGAGCAAGAGTGCAACTGGATTTATTTAAATATTTGTGTGTTTTGTGTGGTAGACAGAGACATTTGCACAAACAAAGTGAAGAGCGCTGATAAGAGTCGGAATATATCGACTATATCTCAGATTTGATTGATGGTAAGAACAGTTCAACCAGTAAAATGGATCAGCTACCATCAACGTTTGTTGAAAATTTCCATGATGAGGCTAGTGTTCGAAAGATGAAATATAACTCATTTGGAAATACAGGATTATTCGTTTCGAAAATATCGCTAGGAACTGGGACCTTGAGTAAACTATACGGGTATGATGTGCTTTCATTTTAATTTTGTTCATGATTTTAAATTTGATTCGCATTTCAGAGATCTAGGTGAAACCGATGGGGCAAACGCTGTTCGTTTAGCATTGAAGAAAGGAATAAACTACATTGATACTGCTCCCTTCTATGGGCAAGGTCGGTCGGAGGAAATTCTCGGACATGCTCTGAAAGACGTACCCCGGCAGGCATATTATGTTGCTACAAAAGTTGCCCGCTACGAGATGGAATACGACAAAATGTTTGATTTTAGTGCTAAAAAGACACGCGCAAGTGTCGAGAAAAGTCTCAAATTGCTAGGAGTGGATTATATTGACGTTGTTCAGGTTTGTTATTTGTTTTATAATTATGCACATATTATGTATTAAAATATATTTTGAACAGATTCATGATGTGGAGTTTGCTGCGGATTTGAATGTGATATGGAAGGAAACGCTACCGACGCTTGAAGCATTGAGAGCTGAAGGAAAATTGAAATACATAGGCGTTTCTGCTTATCCTATGGATGTGTTGAAGACCGTCATCTCCGGTGCACCGGGACGCTTTGACACTGTACTCTGCTACTGTCGCAATACTCTGATAGATGATTCACTCAAGGAATATCTTCCATTTTTCCAAGCAAATAATTTGGCTGTGATTTGCGCGTCTGGGCATGGAATGGGTTTACTCACCAACTCAGGACCACAGACTTGGCATCCCGCGCATTACCAAACTAAGCAAGTTTGTCGAGAAGCGGCTGAATACTGCAAACAGCACGGTGTTGAGCTGGGCAAATTAGCAATGTATCACTTTATCCAGCTAGACGGACCCTCGACATTTCTTAGTGGGATGCAGAGCAAAGCTCTTGTCGAAATTAATTTAGCCGCATTCTTCGACGGATTGACTGACAACGAACGGACCGTGTTAGCTTATTTGAATGAGCGGTACAAATTGGTTGATTTAAGTTTTCAATAAATTAATACTTCGTCTGCTTTCAGGATTTTCCCAAATGTTGCTCAGCGAAACTGGGAAGGAATTGAAGTGAAGCGATATTGGAGTGCCATGAATTCTACGAAAAATTAACACAATCGCAAAGCTTAAACGGTTTTGAATTTATGATACATAATGTTCATTTTTATTTGGATGAATAAACTCCATATTTGTTTATAATGGCCTGTTGAACGTAGATATGCAGATTTATAAAATAGTGAGAACAGAAATTTGATTGCCGATAATACAATGTTCATTGTCACAATTATATTGAAGTTTTTGAAGCCTTCACGGTGATATATTAGTATAACTTTAAAACAAAAATAAAATCGCCAATCTCAAAAGCTTCATCATTCGAAAGAGGGGACTTTGCCGTAATTTTGACACTATTACTTAAATTTTTCATAGGGGGCTGAAACAAAAAAAATCTCGATATTTTCAATAGGCGAATTTACGTATCTTCGTCATCGTGCATCTAAGCTTCTATTAACAATTTCTCAGCGTCACGCATCGTGGTTGTCTGTTTACATTTACCTGAGAATTGTCCAAAACTGATTGAAAACGTTTACAACGCCCCAAACTTCTCAGATGAGTGTGACTATTGTCGGCAACCATTCCATTTGAGCTACGTGTTAATCAGCTGTTCTATTATCGGCAGCTTAAAATTAACCGTATTTTAAAGATCTTATTGCACCAAAGTATACCTTAAACATCCATCTTGAAGATGCATGAGAAAGATTTGCAATTACGATTGTGTGGAATTATTGAAAAATTAAAATCTGATGCCAAAATCGGGTCATTACTGTACTTCATTTAAAGGAAAATATGGTATAATAGGTTTTCTCAGTTGTAAAAATATTATCAAATTGGAGCTGAAAGACTAAAGAATCGATTTAATGCATTCAGCGAAGGGTTTTTGCGAGAAAATCCAGTGAAATTAACGTTTGAATTTCTTATGTCGAAAACAGTCAATGGGTGCTGAATTGGAGGCGAACCAGCCCAAGGCTGAAAGCTTCCTTAATAAAGCTAAATAATAATAATAATCAATGAGTGCTGAAGCAGTCACTTACCCTACATAAAGAGTGAGAGAAAAGTGGCCCATATTTTGTATAAAAAAGTACCCACGATAAAATATTTCATTAGTAGTCTCAAAATGCCGGAAAAAGCCCCCGGGTTTTGGAAATGCTGAATTCTCGCGTCACTTTTCAAATAGACCAATGTAACATTTTCACCATTTTGAGAAAATTGAAGTGGAAGTTCGACCGATTATTATTTTAACTGTTTAGAAACAATACATTTTGCATTTACAATTGCAATACATTTTTTATTTTTAATGTAGTCAGTGAATAATAACGTTGAAAATTCAGTAGAAACGGTAAAATCACAATTTTGATTTGAATTTCATGCTACAATATAGCAAAAACCACATAGGACGTTTTGACTAGTCAAGTTGTACACCAGACTAGCTTAACGCTTTTATGGTAACTAGATTTTCGATTTTGAAGTATTTATCCAATTAAGCTTTTTTACGTTTTAATACTATATATGCGGTTTTAACCGACGAAAGATATTAGGGACAATATAACTCGAAACGCAACTTAAAAGTGTGATAACTTTTTCAAACGGACAAGGCGGAAATGTAATGTCTTTTATTTGTTTATTGTAAATCAACAGTTTAACACTTAAGGTATTCAGGGCTTATTGCCACGGATTCCACCCTGCAAAAATTTTACCAAAATACTAAATTTTTTTGCCTTTTGAAAAGATAATTGTATCAAAACTACATTGCAGGATGAAACCAAACCGGTTCTAGTTGCATTGTCCAACAAACATTTTCAGGTATGTAAGCTTAATAAGCTCAAATTTGGCCCATTTTCAACCCCCCTCTCCCCCTTTGTTACATTTTTAGTATGGACCTTATTTTTTTTTTGTATGTCTCGTCACAGTTTCCAAAACCCCCTCTCCCCCCTAAAAGTGTGACATGATTAATGGATGATCCCTATATATAGGATTACTAATTCGCACGAATTGCATCGACGTTTAGAGGTAACTCTAAGACTAGAAGGTCCCGAAGAAAAATGCTCAAATTTTTGGTTCAGCTCTGGTACTATCTTCTGTCCCAAGTTAATTGATGCACCCCTCGAAACATAGGAAAATCCACGAACCCCTCATTTTATCTTTCAAACTTACATAGCGAATCAAAACAAACATAGTGTAGTACTAGAATTTCAACTAGAATGGGGTACGTTAATAGATTTGCTTGGGACCAATAGGCTCGTCAAGTAGTGAGCCAATTTTAAATCGTTAGTTTTCACCTCACCTCTTAACTCTTTAAACTGCGAAGTAAATGTCTAGTACACACTTAATTTTTTTCGCCGGGCCCGGCAAAATAAAGTGCCGAGAATCCAACAGCCAAGCCTTTGGGAAAGATCTAAACTGTTTAAATGCCGATTAATCGGTAATCCAAGTTTTTCTCAACTCAAAGTTTTTCTCAAGTCAAATTTTGCCGTCTTTCGGAAAAAAATATTTACAATTTCTCGGCAAATCTAAACGCAGAATTTTGGCAAACATTCTAGGTTTTGTTTTTATGGATTTCGACAATCTTGAACTTCCGATTATATTTTTGGTGTCAAATTAGAAAAACAGATTGCATGTACTGGTTCAATTTGTGTTTATAATTTTTATATCTATTTATTGAAGATGCGCGCTTATTTCTTCAACTACTTAGTTCCAACATTCTTGGTAGAGGTCTCCGTTTGAAGAAAAGGCAAAAATGCTGTTTCTGGCGGGGTCTCTGGGTATAGAAGAATGACGGAACTTTGCTCGTTTCACTCCACAACAAATCACCGCACACAAGCACCGTAGGAAGGAGATGCTTGATAAAGCAACGTGTATTCCTAAGAACAATTTGAAGTCCATCGTTTATTTTTGTTATATTTATTATTTATCATAGGAAATAACTTACGCTAATCCAATGCAAAAGTAATGTACGTCAATCCACTTTCAATCAATTGTCAACTAACACGCGTAAAGTATGGCAATTTTCGTCCTGACAGCCATTTTTACGTGTTTTTTGAGAATTGGAAAAATAATATGAGACCATTTTCTAGGTAAATCCAAATGAGTGAGCTTTTACTCAGTGATAAATCAATTGATTCGCAATATGCATTATAGCAAGACATCATTCTATTTAATGGTCCCCTTTCCGGCATAGTTTGTTCTTTGGTTGTTAACATAACATAAATTTCTATTATTTAGTGAGCTAGGGGGTACACAACAATTATTATTTTTCAAAACCTCTGGACTGTTCATTTTTTGCGTAATAACATAGTTTGTGAATGCATTCATTACGAACTCTCTTCGCTTTTTGAGCTCATCTTCATTTATTAACAAACATCGCGACTTATAAGATGGAAGCGGAAGACTAGTCCAACCTAACTTTATTAGAGCCAACCAGTGTTCGGAAAATCTCTCTCAAATCTCATTTATTGAGTCTCCCTGCGAGAATAAACTCGCATGCGAATGTGGCAAGCAAAATTCATGCTTGATATTCACATGTATATTCACGCACTCACACTCACAACACCGTAAAATCATTCCAGCTTTAAACTCATAAAAACCACTCAAACGTCAATTGATAGCATGCTTATGCATGTTGTATTAGTTTTCCAAACCCTGATGCACAAACAAGAGTAATAACAATTAATAGCGCCGACATATACAGAAATTAATTTTTGAACCTAAAAACTCAGCGGTGATTTTTGCGACGTTGAATTTTGGCAGGCAAAACTCATAGGCGCATAAACTCATGCATGAGATTTGAGTTTTTGAGTTTTTTCAAACACTGGAGCCAACAACAAGAACTGCCTTTGAACAGCCTCAATGCGATTTACATGTATGGAGCCCAAACTTCGCTACAGTACTCAAGAAGAGGCCTCACATATACTACGTACAGAGCTTTGATTGTGTAAGGATCATTAAAGTGCATTTTATTTGTTTTATAGATAATGCTATTTTAGTGATAAGCGAATAACAAGTTAGAATCTCAATATACAGGTATTCCACTAAGACGCCCACATTCATCAGGACTCAAGTTAGAATCGAGAACAACACCAAATCTTTGAACTGGTTTCTAGCCTAGAGTAATTGTGGCATAAACAATAGCATGCTTTCTAGTGCTCGATATAGAATTGCATTTTTTTGACATAAAGTTCTAACAAATTTGTATTACACCAGGTGTAACAACGTCAATGTCAAGTTGGAATGTTTGAATGTCAGATGCTTTGTTTATCTCCATGATAAGTTTCATGTCGCCTGCGTATATTCAAACATGAAAGAATTTGAAAATGTGTTCTATACCGTTGACAAATAAAATAAACAGTATTGGGCCAAAATGTGAACCTTGTGGCACACCTGATGTGACATTAACTATGGTAGACACATTTCCTTCAAATCTTACTCTTTGCGTTCTCTGTGATAAATGTGACGTGATCTATTTCAGACGCCTGGGGTTGAAGGCAGACTTTGACAACTTAAAAAGCAAGAGCGTATTTTGTCAACTCTGTCAAATGTTTTACTCAAGTCAGTATACAACGATTGAACATAGTTTCCTTTATCCATTACGTTTAGAGAAAAAGTTACAAAATGTATCAAGTTTGTAGCTGTGGATCTTTCCTTAACAAACCCATGTTGTTTGCTAGTAATTAAAGGTTTAGCCGGCACAGCAAAAAAATAATTGTAATATCACATCAAAGTGGAAGCACTTCAATCGTTTCTAAAATATGATGTAATATTATTTGCCAAAAAGGACAAAATTATCATTAATACAGCGCATGAACTGTCATTATGCTGCTTTTACTGCATTTGTTTATTTTTGTGGCCATAAAAATTACATAAGATTTTCGACATGATTGAAGTGCATCCTTTTGTAAAGTTTATATTTTACTGTGTATGCGAACACAGTGTCGTTAATTTCAGAATTTTGTAGGAAAGTAAGGAACTACGCTGAAGTTAAGTGATTTTTCTTTAATCTTATTACAGATGTTCAGAGGACATCTTCGAAATTCAGGTAATCTATGCTAAATTCGGACACTTTCGCAGAGAATAAATCAGAGAAAATCGAAGAAATAGGGGGTGCTTTGTAGATATTAAGGAATTTAAGGAGATTTTGTTTATTTTAAAAGAACTTCATAAAAGTTCATTTAC